TTCAGTGCTCCCACTGCTCCAAGAGGTTCACACTGGTGTCGGTGTTGGCCAGGCACAAAAGGATGCACACGGGGGAGAAACCGTTCCTCTGTTCTCAATGTGGGAAAGGGTTTTTATCGCAGGGAGAGCTTTCCAAACATCACAGGTCCCACGTGGACGACAGGCCCTACTCGTGCCCTCAGTGCGACAAACGATTCAAGAGCAAAAAGACTCAGCACGAACACATCGTCTCTCACAGCGGCGCCCGACCGTACCCATGCACCTACTGCGGCAAGGGCTTCACCAAGCCATATGCGCTGACCAGACACAACCTGATCCACACAGGAGAGAGGCCGTTCCCCTGCGGACACTGCGAGAAGTCCTTCCTCACCCTCAGCGAGGCTCAGCTGCACCAGAGAATCCACACGGGGGAGAGACCGTATCCCTGCGACACGTGTGAGCTCAGGTTCAAGAGCTCATCAGAGCTGGCGCGACACAAACACAGCCATTCTGGACCGAAGAGAGAAAAGCCGTTCTGCGAGAAGTGCAGGAAGACTTTTACATCAGTCGCTAAACTGAAGAAGCACGTGGAGATTCATGAGGACAGGGCAGAAGCTGCTCAGTCTGTGGACTCCAGGGAATCATGTGTTTAAACTATTGGGCTTGAAAAATTATAAAATGTTTAGCTTCAGACACTGGGATCAGTCAAAATAACAAAATTTGGATGAGGCGGTAGTTTAACGGTAATGCAAGTTTTGATGTAAATTATGTAAAAAAAAGTATTTTAGAGTTTACTACGAATGATTTAGTTTTTTTTACTCCATCACTGGGCTATTCATTGTTTTTAAAGTCACCAATGAACAAAACTTTAATAAACACTCCTCGTATCGTCTGTTTTCTTCTCTATTTTGTTGCTGCAGGAGTTTTACAAGTTTGGAGTTTGGATGAACACCACATTCGTAACAGGGCAGTATGAAATAAAAGTAATTTCTTGATTTAATAGCTGTACTTTCTGAGAAAATGCTGATTGTAAAGTTGCAAAGTTAAACTTGTTAAACAGTTGCACGATAATACCCAGGGCAATTTGAGATGTTTGCAGTAACTGTTGCCTTTATGATTCAGTATAGGGTGAAGTTTTGCTGAGATCATGCATTTGGTTATTATGGATTATGTTATAGTACAGAACCATATACCCCCGTGCTTTCAAAATTAAATTATTTCCAAATACACAAAATATAACTATACTAATATAAATAATAGAATAAATGCCTGGGTACCTATTGCAAAGCCACAATGAGATTATCTTTAATTTTATTTGTGTATCCTGGAAAAAAAAAAGACAAAACGGGGAGAAAACCACAGATGAGACACTTGGATCAGTTTTAGTCTTCTTGCTTCAGCTGCAAACGTCTCATGTCGGCTGCCAGTGGATCCATTGAAAAGACACCGGATGTGAAATGTTCCTCTTAGGAACAACTTTTCTGATTTAAAGACATAACTGTTGTCAATCACAATCTATTTTCTCACAGTTCCAATATTCAAAGCTCTAAGTGTCTTTTTATCATAATACATCCCCAGTTATCACTTGGTTGTGCTAATCCTCAATGTTATCTAGAGAAATTGCATTTCCTTCAAAAATGTAGTGTAAATGCTTATTGGAAAAATTGCTGAAATTAGCCATCATTAGCTGAAAAGTAACTGAAAAGGCAAAAAAGAAAAAGTTTAAACTAACAGACAAAAGCTGAAAGGGGCAGAAAGAAATTAGATAGGCCGAAAATAGCAGAAATTACCACAAAAATCTTGGAATTTATCTGAAAATGGCTGAAATTACCTAAAAAATGCTGAAATGGTGGAACAAGCTTAAAGTGGCAGAAGAAAGTATAAAGAACACATGTTGGCCCAATCATGCTGAAAAAAGCAGAAATTAGCACAAAAAGTGGAAATTATATGAAGCAGAAGCATGTAAAAAAAAAACAGTTGAATAGTAGCTAAAAAAGCAGAAAGTAGCTTAAACTACCAGAATGAAGCAGAGAACACATTTTTGCTGAATGAGGTTGAAAAACATTTAAATTAGTGCAAAAAAATCTGGAATTAGCTGAAATTGCTCAAATTAGCATAAAGACAGCTAAATAGTAGCTGAAATAGTTGAAACTTGCAAAAATAAGCTGAAAAGAGCATAACAAGCTGAAATTTGCAGAAATAAGTTGGAAGAAGCACAAAAATGTTCTTGGAATAAAGCTGAAAATAGCACAAAACAGCTGAAAATAGCTGAATTGTTGTTGTTGTTTTTATTTGCACAAGGAAGCTGAACCAGAACAAAATGTGAAAGGAGCAGTAAAAGGTTGTAAACAGCTCTAAAGATTTGAAGGATGTCAAATGAGCTCAATTCATTTTCTATGAGGGGAAAAAAAATGTCAGAAAAGGCTAAATATTTAAAAAAGCTGAAGTTGCACCGAAACGAAAAGTCATAGCAGGATTGTCCTGAAAGAGCTGAATGTTGTGATATAAGATTTGTTGAAATACTGTCGTACAAAAATTGGGGAACGAGATAGTTGATGAAAAATGTACAGAATTAGATAAAGTAGTCGGACGAATAATAAATATAAACAGGATCACAATAGTGTGAATGCCTAATAAGCGTCTATTTGTGACATTTAGACCCGCAGTAAAACATTTTGTGAGGAAAAACCACAGTGCAGTGCGTCACGTCAGGTGATGCTTCTTTAATTATATTCCAGAGAACTGAATGGCATCCTCAGCTGACTGACTGCAGGCCTCATAAACACCACATCTCTAAATGATTAAAATAGTTTGTCTCCTTCCTGCTCACAGAAGAAAACTGACTGGTCTCAAACTGGTCTAAAATGTGTTTTTCTGCTCCCCCTTCATCCATAGCCAGTTTTATCTGCATATTCCCTCCTCTGTCATTATGTCAGGATTATGGCTTTTTTCTTTTAAAAGGCAGGATTTGAATGTGTTTAATTAACTGAGAGGTTTTAATTAGCTCCGACTGGGTGAGTAGCTGATTGGGGGGAAGCCGACGGCATGAAGGAATCACCATCATAAAACTGGCCTGGCCCTCCAGTGTGTGGATGTGTAGCCCATTGAACCAACAGGGTGCTGTAAATACGCCGTAAAGCTGGAAAGGGTTCACTGAACCAAAATTGGATTTCTATTTTTAGCTCGCCTTGTGTTCAGAGTCTATTCTGTGAAGACTGTCAGTGACATGCAATAGAAACTAGATTCATGTAAAAACCGGGAAATAAAGTCAACTTGTTGGGCCATATATTATCTTTATGTTTTATTGCGGTCTTTAATTGAGAAGTAATGAAGTTAAAAATCCATGAACAGTGGAGGAAGTGTGCCTTCCAACACAGTATGAGACAATTTTATCTACAAATTAAAAAAAGAGATATACGTTTTTATGTTGACGTACAATTCAACAAAACAACTGATACTTATCTTCATCTTTTTCTAACAGGAATCTAATAAATAGGTTAATAACAGCTGTTAAGAGTCAAATCAGAAGCAAATGAATAGTTAAATTATTGATTTCTATAAATTTATGTATACAGCTGTTGAATGGTTATCCATTATTAATTGATCTTTTAAAAAATAATGAATTTAGGGTCTCTTGTCTTTTCTTTCCATGAAGAATATTAACTCAGTTCAATCAGTGATTGGCACAAAATTGTCATTCAAAAAGATAATTAAATATTAAATACATAATTATTAATTACAATAAACCAGGATTAATTTATTGATAAGCCATTAGAGATTACTCTTTTCATAAATGCTGTAGATTACTTTTTCTAACACAATGAATTAATGGCACAAATAAAAAATGAAAAAAAAAAAAAAACCCCAACAACATTGAATAACAATTATTTATGAGTCTTTATATTATTTTATTATTCCTAATCTTGAGTTTTATTTTTTCATAAAGTCATGCTTTTATTAAGTCAATCAGTAATAATAATAATAAGAATAATGTCATCACATTGTCATCGCTGTATGTTTTCCATACAATGGCGAAATTAATCTCGGTAAATGGAACAATTTGTAACATCTCATTAATTCATAATTCAGTATATGTATTTAATAGCTAAATAATCATTAATAATTATTTAAAGCAGAACTTTTATGTTTTTTCTGTTCTCAATAACAATAATAAGCTATAGTGACCATTATACTAAACTTTTTATTTCATTTTACCGGTAAATGTGCCTTGTTTTTATAGGCAAATCCAAGACGTTTTAATGTTTTAAGCTAAAACATTATTTTAATTCTTCACTATTATTTTCACAATAATAAATCAAAAACAGCAGAATGTTTTACATATATGGTCGTATCGTTATTTTTAAAGAACACAGGAAAACTTCTAATAAAAGGTTACTCGAATTCTTACAACCAGTAATAGTTTTTATTTTCAAAATTATATTTAGTACTTTGTTAGTTAATTAATTTCAAGTAGCTTTTTTTCTTTTTAATAAGCAACCAAGTCTCCAGTAATCTTTCCCATGTAGTATTTATGTAATAATTCTAACAAGTCACTGAAGCTATAGTAAAAAAAATGTAATAAATTTTCCCTAAAGTGATTAAAATGGTGACGTTGGGTTTTGTTCGAATTCTCTGCAGCCTTTTTAGATATAACAATAACCTCAAAGGGATTCCTCCCCCACAATGAGAGCTGTCCATTGGTTTATTCTACGCCTGCAATCACCTGACCACTCCGAGGGGCAGCGCCGAGCGCACGGATGACCAGATGTGACGATCAGCGGAGGAATTCGAAGCTTTGGTGGCCATGCAGCTGGAAACGAAATTCAAAATAAAGGGATAAACCGAGCAGCTGTGGATGCTGATAAACATACAACGCGAGGTCCATTACTGTGATTTACAGTCCGGTTCCTGGTGGCGGATTAATAACCAGCCATAAAGAAGAGGAAGGAGGAGTGTGTGTTGCAGGAAGACTGGAGTGAAGGCTCAGATAGAGGTGGGAGGACAAAAGAGGGGTGTGTAAAATGAGGGAGAAGGGAGTAGATAAAGCCGGAGCCGGGACCATGAGCTCTGCACTGTCGTACGACTCGCTGTCAGCCCGGCCGAGTCCCACCAGGCGAGCTTTGGAGTGGGAGCGTGAACAGCTAGCTATACGACGACTTTCCTCTCCGCTGGGCGTTAACCTGCTAACTCCACCTCCTCTTCCTCGTCGACCTTCTGCCATCCCTGGCTACCTGCTCCCTACTCATCAGGAGCAAAAAGAGGAGCTCCACCACCAGCAGCAGCGTCTTTCCTTGTCTGTGGGCTCGGAGGCCTCCCTGGCGCGCCCCGCTCCTCCACCGGTGGGTGCCGCCCCACCCTGCTGTCGCCCAGTGGGAGTCATGCACCTGCTGCGTCTGGGTCTCCTTGCCTTCAGCTGCCTCTTCTGGGCAGCCGGTTTGGCTATCTTTACCCTGGGTGTCTGGGCTCAGATCTCCTTGGCGGACTACATGACATTGTCGGCCAATCGATATCCCAACGCGCCGCTCATCCTCCTGGCTACGGGTGCTGCCGTCACAGCTTGGGGGTTCCTGGGCTGCCTCGGGGTGGCTGCGAACCTGCCCTGCCTGCTGAGGGCCTATGGCTTCTTTCAACTTGCCACTCTTGTAGCCGGGTTGGCAGCTGGACTCTCGGGCCTCTTCTACCGTGAAGACATTGCCGGAGGGTTTCGCAGCGGCTTACTGCGAGCCGTGGCGGGCTACACGGAGGACGAAGGCCGTGCCGACGCTCTAGACAGCTTGCAGAGGGCACTGGAGTGTTGCGGCGCCGAGGGATGGCGCGACTGGCTCTCGTCTGATTGGGCCATCCAGCACATGACGTTCATTCCTGCTGAAAACGGCACCGCCGTGTCCCTTCCAGACAGCTGCTGCGTGAGGCGAAAGGGTTGCAGGAATCGGCCTCTGCTCTCGGATGACAGCGAAGGCGTAGCGGCTGCGGGTATCCACCCCCACGGCTGCTTCCGCAAGGTCTTCAGCTTGGTCAACGACAACGTCTTCCACATTGCTGCCACCGTGTTGGGGTTGGCCTTCACACAGATTGGAGGCATCGCCCTCGCTTGTCTTCTAGCCAACAAACTGGCGCCCAGGCAGCATGGACGTGTAGTAGCTCATTGATAGGCAATGACAGAGTCTTCTTTGATTGACGAAAGGAATACAAGTGAAAGTGAGGTTGGGGATGTTTGCGTCTGGAAGTAAAAGTAATTTCATATTCACTTACAGTAAAGAGGGAGCCTTTTGGAAATTGTCACTAGTCTTCAGGACAAAACAGCAAAAATCTCTAACTGTTGTGGGAAGTTTGGAAAGATTTACAGAAATTTGACCAGATGAAGCCAATTGGAACAGTTGGATGAGTCATGTTGGTCAATTTTAGTACGATTTTGGTTTCCTTTGGATTTAAATTTAGCCCCACATGGGACGATTGCCTTTGATGGTTCACAACAGAACTAGTTGGGTTTCATCACCTAAGTTCTGAACCGTCAATCAAACTCAATATATTCTTCATTCCTAATTTAATTAGACTATAATGGCAAAACAAAAAAAACAGTTTTGTCTCCTTAAAATACCATCACAAAATTTAAACCTGTGTAGTTAAACTTCAGCTCCTTTCTTTACTTGATATTTACTCATCTGACAATTGTCTCTTCACATCCAAGTGAACAACAGGCGGTTCTAATGCTTGCATGTGTGCAATATAAAAAAACGTGGACTAAATTAGTTAGACACAAGTGCTGTACAATGAAAGAGCAGCATTAAATTAAAGCACAAGTTAACAAGCTGGTGAAGATTCGCAGTCATCCAGGTCGTGATCGATAAAAATAGGCTAAAGAACAAAAACATCTGGATGTCTGTTCTGAGGCTGAACATGTTTTGTTTCTCACGTGGGAGGATTTATCAATGTGTGGTGTTTTCAGTTCACTGCAGTGAGGAATGTTCGGACCTCTGTATTGGAGAAACATCTCCACAGACGCATGGCTCAACACTGGAGCGCAGCTCTTCAGTACCAGACTCAGTGGTCCACCTACATCTAAAGGAAAAGGGACACTGCTGAGGACCACAATGTGCAGAGGCGAGTAGTTCCAGTCTAATCTGCAGCTGGATCTAAGAACAAACCAGACCTCTCATGCAGATCTATGAAGCTTGGAAGTCCACACACTCCAGATGTTTAAATTGATAAAACCTCCTGGATGGGAAGCAAAACATCTGCAGCTTCAGAATAAAAGTCCAGCTGTTTTTTGTTTAACCTTTTTTTAATTTTTTTTTATCACAAGTTAATAAGCTCCTCTTTGAATTTAAAAAGTATTTATGGACTTTTCTTTCTTTCGTGCAGCTCGACCTACCCAGTAGATTGTTCCCCGGGACTATTTTCCTTTGTGAATATTTAGTCTGGCTCGTGTTTGTCTCTGCGTCATTTAGTTTTCCTGTTAACAAAGATCCCATCGCCTTATAAGAAAAAAGAGCCATCTTGTATTTTACGCTGTATATAAACCTGCCTGCTAGCTTTCACTCTGTAGAAATTTTAACAGCGTTCATACTGATTTTTATTTATTTTTTTAGATTTTGCTGTGTCGTCAGATAATCTGACATGGGAAGATGTTAACTTGTATAGCATGTTTATGTGAAACCCACCACCGCATGAAACAGAAAGGTTTAGCATCAGATTAGCATTTTGTTTTTCTTATTTGTGTCTACATTTGACACAGAAAAATCCACTCATGCTCCCAATGAATGTAAAAATATAGATTCATCTCCATCATCTTGTTTATTTAGCTTAGATAACTGCATTGTGTAAAATAAATTTCACTTTCATTAATGTATCGTGTAATCTACTGTTCCTATTATCAGCAGCATGATGGAGACTGTAAACCATATCTGTCGAGTATAAATGAAAAATCTTTGCTTCATTCCAGCGTATCGATTCGACTCTGGGAATGGAAATGTGCAACGTATTAAATGTCTAGATGGAAACAACACTGTAAAAACAAGAAAAATAGCACGCAGCAGGTGCCCCGTTGGTGATAGAGATGCCTCTAATAAACATCTTGCAAAGTATTACTTTGATTTGAGTGTGTTTTTATTCAAAATGTCCAGTTACTCTCTTTGCATTTTGAAAGCTGTGAAAACACCATTATTTTAAGGGTGGAAGTGTGGCAGAGTTGTAAATTCTTACTGCTGGAGATAAAGCCAGTCGTCATCAGAACCTCTGACTGAGTCATTGTGAAGTGCAGCTTGCACCTGAGACAGCAGCGATTAGATCGGCACATAAAGGATCCAATAAAAGAAGGAAACCCATCTCTTCATGACATGTAAAAAAGAAAAAAACTAGATTTTTGTCTTTATTTTGCATAGTTTTTCTTACTATATAAACAGGCATTGTGCTGTGGCCTCTAAACAGCCACTTTCAAGATCTATATATTCCATTGATTAGCCTACATTATGCTCCAGCATGGCTCGTCTGGTCACACGCTCCATGTTTGACCTATTTATTCACAGGTTTAGCTCCACTGTAGATGATTCAAGATGGAGATTCATGAGCAACGCTTGAAAATAAACAGTGGGGCCTTACGGTTTGCTTGAAAAGCATATTTTGTGTGGGACAATGTTATCTAACTTTAAACTAAAACCTCACGATGGACTATTTATCAGATCGCCACAAAGAGGTTAAGATTCATCACATAGTTGTAATTATTTATAGTGCAATCCCAAATAAGAAGAACCGTCACATTCAGAACTGGGTGAAAATGTCTGAGCATTTCCTGGTTTAAATCAAACATGGCCTCAGGCTGAGTGGGTGTCAACCTTCTGCTGGGGTCACGAATCTGATAACACAGATCACTAACTTTTTTTTTTTTTGCACATTACTGAATTTACATCCGGCTGTTTGGATAGGAGTCTAAAACACTTGATTTTTGTCCTAATTTATTACACAGTGTTGTTTTTTAAAGTGATGAAAGTGAATACCAGCTTTATTTATAGAGCACTTTAAACACCAGCAGGACCAAAGTGCTGTACAAACAATCATACATCAGATATAAAAAGCAATTAAAATGATTAAAAGTCAGATAATAATAATAATATTAGTTTATTTCTCCTGGCTTGCTGGGTTTATATGTATATTTAATTTTTTTGCATTATGTACTTGCTATTTTGATATATTGTTATAATCTTAAGGGGATGGAGATGTTTGCGAAACCTAAATTTTGAACTAGTTTTGAAGGAAGTTCAATCCAAGGAATTAGATTATGGAATAATCTGGAGAGTGATGTTAAAAATGCCAGATCAATGCGTATGTTTAAGCGAATGATCAAAGTTGATTTGTTTAAAAAAATTAAATAGCTTAATGTGTATTTGTATGAATCTTTGCTCGAGAAGGAGTTATTTATTTTGTTTTTGTTATTTGAAGATTATAGTTTGAATTTTTTTTTAAAGGGGTAGATATAAGATTTTTTCTTCTTTCTGCTGCCTTTCATTTTATTTGTGATTGTATTTCTTATAGAATTGTTTTGTTTTGTTTAAAAAAAATGAATAAACGTTATAATTATAATATTATCACCCACCAGGCCTGGATGGATGGATGGATGGATGGATGGATGGATGGATGGATGGATGGATGGATGGATGGATGGATGGATGGATGGTTGGATGGATGGATGGATGGATGGATGGACAAACTGTTAGCAAAATATGCCATGAACCATTGGGTGGATTTTAATGAAACTTTCAGAAAGTAACCTGTAACCAATTAACTTTTACAGTCACCCCAAGTCAAGATGGCCGCCACAGCTAATCAACATTAGCCAGGAAGGGAGCAATGTTTTGGTGTGGTAGATGAGAGTTATTCCCAACACACTTCCAAGCGCAGATCACGCGAGATTTCGTTTAAAGTTGGATCAAACCGGCTGTAACTCCGTCATTTCTCCAAATAATTTCAAGCTCTGGCGTTAATAGAAGGCGGGCGATAAGCAGATCCACTCGGAAAGCTGAGCCTTTAATTACACATGTGTTATCTCTACTCTCCGCCTCTTTAAGTCTGCCCTACATCCGACAGCTTGTGGGTTTGCTGTGCGCGCAGCCCCACATGATTATTGGACCTCAGCCGCGCTCCACCGCTGCGTAAAAGCGGCTCGGACATGTAGCTCTGCGCGCACCAGAAATAAAAATAAAACTCAAGAATGGACCTAAAATCTGAACTCCTCAAGTCCATCTGGTACGCTTTCACTTCGCTGGACGTGGAGAGGTGCGGGAAAGTGTCCAAATCGCAGCTGAAGGTAAGCAGGGGAGTTCATACAGACATGATTATTTCATTGTTTTCACCAGAAGTTCTTGGGACTCTGTTGTTTTGGTGACACGGATCAGTTGTGCTGTTCACACTGAGGCAGATCAGCTCAAAGTCCAACCTTTTCCCGTGGCTAAACAAACAGAGACTCTGGAGTTGTTTAAAGGAAGAAGCAGCTTTTTATTCTTCTTCATTTTTCTAGATTTGTGTTTTCTCCTCCATCCCCCACATGTCTCTGCTGCTCAGAGGAATCCAGCTGTGAGGCGGGCAGCTGTCCTGACATGCTGAGCCTCACAGGACAAAGATGCCTGTGCTTGTCTGTGTCTGCCTGTGGGCTGATGAAGAAACATGGGAGTGTGCCACCAGTCCATGGCACCTTAAAGTCTTTCTCCTCCCTGCAGGTGCTTTCTCACAACCTGTACACCGTGCTGAACATCCCTCATGATCCGGTGGCCCTGGAGGAGCACTTTCAGGATGATGATGATGGGCCCGTTTCCAACCATGGCTACATGCCCTACCTCAACAAATACATCCTGAACAAGGTGGGTTGCTTTAAAGTTTGGGGTTAAAATGACACCCAACAGATGTTTTCAGTCAGGTTTGTCCGATTATTTTAATCTTTGGTGCTGTTGTTTGTTTTAGTTATGATTTACTCGATGTCTTTTGTCATTTAAATTGTTGTTCATGACCGGAAGTCAGAGTAATTTAACATTTTCTGGCAGATTTTAAAAGATGGAGCTAAATTATCACACATATGATGATTTCTGACTGTTTGACGGCCATAATAACAAAATTAATCCTGCAGCTTGCGTGACATATGGAGGGTTAAAAAAAAATCTGCAAGATTACAGATTTTATGAGTTGTAACTGCAGTTCTTAAAACTACTAATAAAAGGTTTCTAAACAATATGTATTTACAGCATCTAACACTATTTTGGAGCAAAAACTTTGCGTGTTAACTATTCAACTGCATGCAGTCACGATACACATAAATATTGCACTTTTTTATGGATAACTTCAAATTTTAGTCTTATTTTGTAGTTGTTTCTATAAAACTTTCAGCAAACTTGAGTTACTGCGTTATTATTTTCATAATAACTCGATAAAAAAAGTTTTGCACGTACAAGCAATGCACTAAAATTGAGGGTTTATAGAAACGAGAGCAGAAATGTGAATTTATGGCTCTTTTCTAAATGCAAATCAACAGTTTTTGAAATGTTTTCCATCATTTCTCATCGTATTCATAAAAATCTTAAATGCTCTTAAAAGTCTCGTATAATTTTCTTACTTTTGCTATTTTGAACATTTTAAATAAACTGCTATAGTGTTGGTTTTACATTATTTTGATAATTTATTAATGATACCTCTTGAACCTTATCATTTTTTTATTTCCTTTAATTAATTTAGTTATTTTTAATTAAATATATTTGGTATTCATGTTGACCATTTATACTGTTTAGTTAAAACCAAGTGTTTTAAAAAAAAGAGCATTAAACTTGGTAATTATATATGTGTGTAAAGGATTTTGTCATTTTTGCTGAAAATATTGATTATGTTAATGGAAAGTTTGAGAATTCTGTTATAAATATTTTGAAGTGACGTAGAAATCAACTGTGAATCAAGATTTGAGTCAGTCACCGACGGATGAATTTTCATTCTTGTTGGTTTAATGCGGCTAATGTTCGGTTTCAGTTAACCGGAAGTTTTTTTTATTTTTTTTTTTATTGTATTTCCAGGTAAAAGAGGGGATGTTTGACAAAGAGAAGTTCGACGACCTGTGCTGGATGATGACCATGAAGAAGAACTTCAGCGGGTCGCGGCGTGGGTCGCTGCTGTCGGAGAGAAACTGCTTTAAGCTGTTCTGTTTGTTCAACCTCCTGTCTGAGGACCACTACCCACTGGTGATGATCACAGAGGAGGTAAAACACGCCAAGGAAGAGTTTAAGCTCAAGATTTGACTAACAGTCGACACAGGAGGTTGCTGAGAAGGTTCCATTTTATTTATATTTCAAACATTCAAACAGCTTTGATTTAATGGGAACATTTTATACGAAGTTCCTGTGCAATCAGTTCACAATCAGATTATGTGTTGGAGACCAGTCTCATCTACTGCCACACCAAATTTTAGATCAATATCTTTAAAAAATATCTGAGTTATAGCCATTTTTAAAAACATCAATCTCTCAGTCTCCTATCCTGAGCAGCCCATTGGCGACAGTGGAAAGAAATGACTTTTAACAGGAAGAAACCTCCAGCAGATGATGGACGGTCATCTGCCCTGACTGGCTGGAGTTTTAGAGGACAGGAAAGAAATGCAAGCACAGATTGACTGGTCCGGGTGTGCTTTCTATGGAAAGACAATGAAAAACAATAATTACAAACATGAATAGAGTGAGTAAATTCAGCAGCAGAGTAAAGAGATGTGGTCAGTTTGTCCTCCAGCAGTCTGTAGCAGCATAACTAAGGGATAGCTTAAGAAACCCAAGCCAACCCTGTCTATAGGATTTATCAAAAAAAAGGAAAGTCTTAAGCCCAATCTTAAAAATAAACAAGGTGTCAACCGCATGGACAGAAACTGGAAGTTGGTTCCACAAGAGAGGAGCCTGATAACTGAAAGATCTTCCTCCTGTTCTACAGGTGCATCTCAAAAAATCTGAATATTGTGAAATAGTTCCATTTTTTTCCCAGTCATTTCAGAAAGTGAAACTCGTGTAGATCCATTAGACATAGAGTGAAATATTTCAAGCCTTTATTTCTTGTAATTTCATGAGTATGGCTCACAAATGGATTTTTTTCTGCTCTTGATGAAGACGGACGCTTTCTTTCCCTTTCCTGGCTCCCTCCTGCTTTTTGCATTGTCCTGTGAATCCTCAGAGCCTCTCTTTACACATCTTCCCAATCGTAAATTATTATGGATCCGGTCAGTTGGTCTCTCAACGCAATTGATAAAATGTTCTTGATGAGAAGATGGGGTGCAGGAGTGCCCTCATGCCCTGAAGGAACACATGCAGCTGGATATGTCATAGATTCCTTGGGTGTATGGAAGATGATGTCTGTTTTGTCCGTTGAGGACGTCAAAGACGCGTACATAACTGGATTTATGATAACAAGGTTCCTGGTTTTTGGAATCAGCGAGTACCTGGGATATCAACACATTAGGAAGACGACGGCAGCAGTTTTGGCAATGGTAAGGCTGCCTGCCTTATGTGAAGGATTGCACTGTGCTCCGAGTGCTCAGACTCAGATGGTAGAACTCGCTGGCATGAAGGAATCGACCTTGGAGAAGGCTACAAGCACAGTTCAGCGGAATGACCATGAACCTGGCTGTTTTGGGTTTGCCATTGAGTGTACCAGCAGAAACTATGAAGGCAGACGGAAAATCAGTAGAGTCAGCCTGTCCCAAAACAATTGTTGTTTATCTGAAACTGGCTCCCCCGTTTGGCCTTGGATAGGCCAACTTATCTGAAATTGCTCCTGGAGGATATGTAAATAATGAAGCTGTGCTGCCCCTCCCCCGTCCCTGTCCCCCAGAGAACATCTGTGGACCCTTAGCAGAGCTGCACCGGCTGAAAGACACTGTGCCATCTTTATCAGGACTATGGAACTTTCTGGTTGTGGTCATGGACAATCACACCACCTTTGTTGGCTTCCTCAACATGTATTATCTGTGTTCCTTGTGCTGAGGTAGTTTTTTTGCTACCTCACACTGTGCCCTGTGTGTGAAAGACACAGTGTAAGAGATCTTTTTTTTATACCTTCTTTCCTCATGTTTTTATTCCCTTTTCTTATCTAAGTGATAAGGGCAGTGCTTCACATGAAGCAGCAGCCTCCGTGCATTTCCGTCTACAATTGTTGGACGGTTGTACTGGAATATATTGTCACTGTGCTTAACTGTGCAATGACAGTAAAGTTGATTCTGATTTTGAAATAATGAAAAAACAAAATTGAGTGTCTCGGAAAATGAAAATATCGTGAAGCGGTTCAATATTGTAAACTTCTGGTGTCACATCCTAATCAGCTGATTAACTCCTGGACGTGAGCTACAAATGTCTCATTCCTCAATTCGAGCCACTCCTGAACCAGAGACAACGTCAGAAGCATCTTACCTGCTGAGGAGAAGAACTGGACTGTTGTTCAGTGGCTCAATGTCCTCTTTTCAGATGAAAGTAAATTTAGTATGACATTTAGAAATCAAGGCCCCAGAGTCGAGAGGAAGAGTGGAGAGGTCCAGAATCCATGTTGTTTGAAGTCCAGAGTGATATTTTGATGTTTGAGACGCACCTGTACTTTGAGAAACTCTAGGAACCACAAGTAAACCTGCAGTACGAGAGCGAAGTGCTCTGTTAGGGGAAAAAATGGAACATTAAAATCTTTACTAAAAGATGGAGCTTGGTCATGAGAGCTTTGTATGTTTGAAGATTTTAAATTCTATTGTGAAACGTGGAATAATCTGACCATAAGATGCATGTCTATGGTCTTATGTGATGTCATTCTTAGGTTTCCATCTTGTGTTAAACGCTTTTGAGAATCAAAGGTGGATGCAGCGATTGACACTGTTGACTAGCAAAGTAATGCTTTTTAAAAAAGCATGAAGCTTTATAGGAGTTAGTCATGCAGCCTAGCACTAATTTTCTGCCTTGTTGCACTTATTATAGCCCTTAAATCTTTTAGCATTATTCACCATAGTTGTTGACAGACTTCACTTCTTTTTAAACTTTAAATATCAACAGATGGGGCAGCACGGTGGCGCAACTGGTAGAGCTGCTGCCTCTCAGCGAGCAGGTCCTTGGTTCAAACCCCAGTCCAGGGGCTTTTCTGGGTGGAGTTTGCATGTTTTCTCCGTGCATTCGTGGGTTTTCTCCGGGTACTCCGGTTTACTCCCACAGACCAAAAACATGCATGTTAGGCTAATTGGTAACTCTAAATTGTCCCTAGGTGTGAGTGAGAGAGTGAATGGTTGTTTGTCTCATTTGTCTCTATGTGGCCCTGTGATGGACTTGCGACCCGTCCAAGGTGTACCCCGCCCCTCGCACAGTGATTGCTGGACATGGGCACCAGCAACCCCCGTGACCCAAAATAGAATAAGCGGGTAAAACTAATGGATGGATGGATGGATATCAACAGATATTGGTTAAAATTGATGTGGTAGTAGCTAGAAGTAATCCTACATGCATACTTTGAGCTTGCCATGCTGGCATCAAGATCTAGATTTAATAAGCAGAGTTGGTAAGCAGGAAGTGTTGCACAATTTGAGTTAAAGTAAAGACAAATGAACAAATAATTCAGATAGATCAAACACTCTGCTAAGACTCGGTTACATGCTGGACATTAAAGCAGCTTCTGTTCTGACAGTTCGGCGGGCTCACATTTTTTTAAACCCAAAAAATGTTAGTGCAAGTAAGTAAGTTATGAGGCTCTTCCTTCCTGCACTTCCTCCATAAGATTCTTGGTTTCCTGTAAGCCAGAGATAAAAATAAACTTCTTTTGTGCGCTCAGCTCAGTAGAGTCCCCTTAAAAAAACTATCTGTGATGTGCACTCTCAGTTTTACAGTTTGAGTTTGGTGATATTTCTCCACATAATTTATTGTTTTAAAGGTGGAGTATCTCCTGAAAAAAATCTCCTCAGCCATGAGCCAGGAGTGGGATGGGAAGCCCTTAGAGGACCTTATAACCCAGGATCCCACGGTGCTAGAAGAAGGGATGTCTGTTTGGGCCTTTCTGGAACACATGAATACGGGTCGGCTCCTGAAGACCACCAGCCCCGAGGCGTTCAGCTTAGCTCTGGACGAGGTGTTTCTGGAGATGTATCACAACGTCCTCAAGAGGGTGGGTCACTTGAGAAATTAGTTTGCTCCTGTGACGTTATTTGTTCTATGCTTGACGTCCGGTTTGCTCCTGGTTTTGCAGGGTTACATGTGGAAAAAGGGGCACGTGCGAAGGAACTGGACCGAGCGCTGGTTCGTGCTGAAGCCTTCCGCCATGGCTTACTATGTCAGCGAGGACCTGAAGGACAAGAAAGGGGAAATCCAGCTGGACAAGAGCTGTGTCGTAGAGGTTGGCGAGGAAATGTCTATGACCCGCCCAGAATGTGGGTCAAACACTTTTACAGCTTCGTTTTTTTTATTTCAGGCCATTCCAGATAGGGAGGGGAAACGTTGTTTGTTCTGTGTGAAAACACACAACAAGACCTACGAGATGAGTGCGTCTGACCAGCGGCAGAAGGCGGAGTGGACACAAGGTGTGGACTGATGTAGATGATCTTCAGATGAGCTCAACCTGCCTAAAATAACCAGAGAAATGTGCATTTACTGCAAAAATACAGCGTGAAGACTGAGCGCTGATGAGATTAGCTAAAAAGATGAAACTAATAAGTTAAAGCTAAAAGAAATAGAACATTAACAAAAAGCTGAAAGGATCTAAATTCGAGCCCAAAGGATTATAATAATAAAATACAAGCTAGCTAAAAAAAAAACCAAAAGAAAATAAATGCTAGCTAAAATATAAAAGTAGCAAAATACAAGCTAAAAAAAAAAATAAGCAAAATAAACAAAAAGCTAAACAAGCTAAATAACAAAAAGCTAAGTACTAGCTTAAAGACATAAGTAGCAAAATGCTAGCTAAAATTCAACACTTGCTCTTGTCAAGGACGGACCTTTTCTCCTCCTCTCCTTCTCCACTTTGTTTTTGCACTGTCCTGTCTATGAAACTGCTTAGAGCCTCTCTTCTACAAATCTTCTGAATAATAATTTATGGATTTGGTCAGTTGGTCCCTCAAACAACATTTTTTCAAAGAGAAGACAGGTTTTAGGCAAGCCGATTTGCCCTGTTGGCACGCATGCAGCTGGATATCTCATCGACTTGGAAGATTTGATGATGCGTCTATCTCTGCTGTCATCTGTGGATTTTAAGGATGCATATATATTTGGATTCATGATAACTGGTTCCTGCTTTTTTCTATTCGGCTGGTTCCTGGTTTATCTACAATCAAGGAAGTCGTCTGCAGCAAATTTGGACCCGATCATGCTGCTTGCCTTATGATGGCTTGGTTTGTGCCTCGAGCACCCAGACTCCAATGCTTTTGTCAGGATGGATCAGATCTTGGGGATTATTCTCAGGCACGTTCCATTGGTATGGTCATTTAATTTGGAGGTTTTAGAACTGAGTGGACCAACACAGACTCAAGGTAGATGTCATTAAAGTTCTGCCTGTCCCCAAAACAATCGTGTTTATCTGAATTCAGCTCCCTAACTGGCCTTGACAGGCCATCTTATCTTAACTCACCTGGAAGTTTTGTAAACCTGAAGCTCTGCCCCTCCCTCCCCTCCTATTGAGGAATTCCACAGACTGACTATTCAGAGGGTCCCAGCTGAATAAAAATTCTGTCATCATTTCAGGAATCTATGGATTCGTCCTTGGTCATCCTCGACACCCCTGAGTGTGTACAGATCTCTCTAGAGGGAACTATTTGAACTGAGTGATTTTATCTGAACTCTGTAGTGCCACTGTGTGTTGTTTCTGGCTGCTCACCATCCTTGCGTTTCCCCCCCCCCCCCCCGCATAATGTCGGCATCATTATGTGCTAGTGTGCGAGATTTTTTTTCATTATCAGGCTATTGAAGTTCAACCAAAGATTAAGAGCGTGTTAGGATTTTTTTTTTTTTGTCTCCAAACCCTATATGTTATTTTTCACCACTTTTTATTGTCAGTCCAAACAGGTCTCACTTGTAAATGAGTCAATGTGAGTTATCTGTTTAAATAAAGGTTGAATGAATGAAAAAAAGACTAAAATAGCAAAATGCTAGCTCCTTCTTCAGCTGTCACCACAGCGAGCAAATTCGCATGAAAGATTCGACAATTGTTTTACACAGGATGCCCTTCCTGATGCAGCCTGGGCTCGAACCCGCAACTTCAGGATTGCAGGACTGCAGCACTGACTACCAAGCTACCGCAGCAGCAACAAAAAAAGAGCAAAATGCTAGCTAACAAAAAGCAAAATGCTAGCTCAAAGACAAAAGAAGGAAAAAGCTAGTTAAAAGACAAAAGCAGCTAAATATTATCTAACATACAAAAGAAGCAAAATGCTAGCTAAAAGACGAAAGTTACGTTATGTTTATTTGTCATATGCAAGTTTACACAAGGTCAGCATGAGAAGAACCGATGTGAGTTGCTAAAAACAAAAAAAAACAAGAAGTATTAAAGCATGTCATAACGGTACAAAATAAAATACCAAAAAGTGAAAAAGAAATAAAATAAGGCCCAAAAGAAATATAGTTAACAACAGACGACATGATAGAATGTAATGGTGCAAGTAGGATGAATTGGTATAAATAAGTATTTCATAGAAGCTAAAAGCTAGCTGAAAGACAAAAACAAAAATCTAAATACTAGCTAAATATAGGTGTAGCTGTACTGTTTACACAAAGAGGTTTAGTGATTTATATTTATTTATTGCAAAGTAAAAGACATTCTTAAAATGACGAGTACATGTTGACTGAGGGGTGAGGACTTTGTGAACTAAAATAAGATTCAATATAACGTAAAGATAAGTTTACCTATATCTATATGATTGTTCAATCATTTTAGAACAGCAAACTCTGTGGCGACTGTTTCATATTTCGAATCACTGTAACTGATACTGACTGAGCTCAGAGACGATGATTCGAAAGGTTTGCTGCTTCGATAAAAACAAAGTTTTATTTTTCTAATAGAAGCAAAAAGTTTTGTTACTCCTTCGTCTTGCTCACAGAAAACCTAAATGCAGACATTTATCTGTTGGCGTGTGTGGTTTGTTGTCTCTTCAGCTCTTCAAAATGCCTTCCGTCTCCAACGTGAGGGGAAGTCCTCCCTTCATCACGAACTCAAATTGAAGAGACGGGTCCAGCGGGATCAAAGCTCCCGCGAACGCAGCCGAAGCGCCCGGAGCAGCGGCAGCAGCCGGAGCAGCCAATCAGACGACTCCAACGTCCAAGAGATGGAGAGGACGGAGAAAGACAGACAGGATTTAGAGATTGAAAACATCATCCAGGTAAGATAGAGCTGAACTGGGAGTCTATTGTTTTACACAATTAAAATTAAAAAAACATTTTTGTGCTTTTTACAGCACGCTCGAGAATTAGAAATTCGCCGGCGAGAGGCAGAAGAGAGGGAGAGGAGGAGACAAAAGGAGGTGCAGATGGAGCTGGAGAGACAGCTGAAAGAGGCTGAAATGGTATTTCCAGATGACATTTATTTTCAGTTCTTCTGAAACAGATCGTAGCCTCCAGCTCGCCGACTCAGACCTCCTGAAGGGTTTATAAAAACTCAGTTTACCCGAGGTTACGGCATTCCTGGGAAAACGGTGATTCAGGAAGGTTCTTCCCACTCATCGGCTGTGTTTGTGTTCCAGCTGAGAGAAAACATGGAGGCCGAGATGCAGAAGAAGGAGAGGAGAGCTGAGCAGCAGAAGATAAGGATCCAGGAGCTGGAGATGACGCAGCAGAAACTGGAGGCTGCCCTCAACATGGAGATCCAAGCTCGGCTGGAGGAGGAGCGGGCCAGACAGGAGCTGGAGAGGTCACCTTGATTTAAACCTACTGTCGCCCACTCCTGAAGGCCAAAACATCTCATCGGAACACAATAGTCTAAAACTGTGGCATGAAGGTCCTTCTCCATCCTTTCCTCAGGTTGTTGGAGGCCGAGGAGGAGAAGAGGAAACAATTTCTGCTCCTCCAGGAGCAGCAGAAGCTCCTGCAGAGACAGGAGGCCTCAAACGGACGAGCAGGCGGAACCCCGTCTGCCCTCTACTCCGCCTCGCTGGAGCTACAGCATCTGCAGGCGTCTCGTCAGAGGAGCCACCAGCACCTCGAGGTGACGAAGAAACCGCAGCGTTACATGTGAGGTTTGTTAGAACGTTACCTGATGAGGCTGCTCGTTTGGTTTCCAGGAGATGCAGGAGAGACTGCGAAACGCCACTCAGCATGTCCGCCACTGGAACGTCCAGCTGAACCGCCTGATGACACCCATCACGCCTGCAGGTGCAGAGAGCGCCTTTGCTCTGTCTGAGACAGGAACAAAACTTTTCTCATATTATAGGTTTAGATTTAAAGTACTGCAACTCTCAGAAAATTTCATTAAACACCAAAAATGGCTAACCTCTGACAGTTTTACAGATGTTGAGCTAAGAGCAAAGAACTTTTTCTTTACTCGTGGTTGAATTCATCTAAATCTGATTAAATTTAACTGAGCTACAAAAAGCGTGTAGGTGCATCAAAGTTCATGTAATACAGGTAGAAAACCCAAAAAAGTTCAGTCAGGTCATCTGGACGTTTTTTTGTTGTTGTTGTTGAGACGTTTTGTCCCTCATCCAAAGGACTTCATCAGTCCGAGGAGCCACAACAAACTGAGTACCGCAAGCATCAAACCCACATAGTGGACCAACAAGTTTGCTGGTGATAACATGGTTTCTGGGGCCCACCCTCTCCCCCGTCGGCTCCTCTGGGGCAGCCATAGCCAAAGTGGCTCAGCTTGGTGTGGCTCCTCGGACTGATGAAGTTCTTTGGATGAAGGATTTAACTTTGTTAGATTTTCTACCCGTATTGTTGAGCATGAACTTTGATGTTTTGAACCAATTTGGTTATGGCTGCCTCAGAGGAGCCAACGGGGGAGAGGGAGGGTCCCAGAAACCATATCACCAACAAACTG